TTTTAAATGGTCAGTCTGTTAAGGATGGCTGCAGCAGAACAAGACAAACTGAATACTGGCATGAGACAGAAAATCAGTATCACCTAAAGACTGATAATTATGTTTTCTATTGGGAATTCCTCTAGAACAGAATTTAGCCTCTATTTATATTTTCTGCTGTAGCACTCTAACAAGAGCAGTCTGGGGTAAGAACATCACCAGACCATCGTGCCCATAGCCAGGGAAGAGCTGCTCCCTATCAATTCCCAGGGTTGGGTCCAGGGCCCATTTCTGGGTTAAAGGGGAGGCATTGCCTGCATGGGAAAGGCAATATAGGACAACATGGATGACTTCAGACTTTGAATCTGTCATGACAAAAGGCTACAGACTGTGGCCTACTCCTCTTGGAGAAAAAAAAAATGAAGGAATTTCTTAAAGTGGAAAAAATGGTCTTATCTCCTGTTTTTACCTGCAACAGGTGTCAACTGCTGATTGAGCATCCCCATTGGTGTTGGTGGTGGCACCACCCCCATGAGAGCCCCCACAGGGGTGCCTGCTCGGGGAGAAGCACTCGGCTGCTGTTGCTGTGCTGCTCGCTCTCTCTCCTGCTGCTCAGCAACTTTAGCTGCCCGCTCTGTAAAGGCATTTCAGATTTTCAATTCTGTTTTTAACCCAGGAATTCAAAATACCATCCATTGCATTCAACAGGACTAGTAAAAACACAGGCAACAGTTCTGTCTCAATGGAAAGAACAGTAGATGACTAATCTCAACACAGTAGCCGATTTCACTTGGTAACCTAGAATCCAGCTTTCCTATCCCATCTTGAGAACTGGTCTGCAAAGATTTCAAGAATGTTAAGACTGCAACACACATTCAGAAAGCACAGGTTTTATTTAAACACATCACCAGCGTAACCATCGTGGTTAATCTCACGAGGTACCCTGAAGATGAGAAGCACTACTATTATTCTAGTATTAATAGCAATACAGATTATTTATAATTTCAACATGAAGCAATTCCATGGCCCATTATAATTTTTGGCACAATTGTTACTTACTATATTTCCTGATTCCTTGTTCCCAATTTTACTAACATTTTGAGGACTCTAATCAATGTCATAGGTTTAGCAGCTGAAGAAAATTAACTCTGTAAGGGAAAAGTAGCTTACTACCTCTTC